ATATTGACACTAACTGAATGGACTTCAGCCTTTAACAGGAACTTGATAAACAAAGAGAAAAATTAATACATAACACTATTGATACTATACTGTAAGATTTTGAGTCTTTCAAACAGTTTCTTTTTAAAATACCTTAACAAAAGAGAGTAATACATATAGTGTGCATTGGAACGATACTCAAATTTTGATTCTTTGTCTTTCAAAAATGATTCAATGACTTTAAAATGCCTTAAAAAAGAAAGGTTAACACATATAGTGTGTATTGGAATGATACTTAACAATTTGATCCTTCACTATGACAATGTTGACACAAAACTTGATATCCTTTCATTGTTCCAATAATGACAGTATCTAGTAAGAAATGTAAAGAAATAAATCATGCATCATTGAAACTTAACTCTTTCAAATTTAATATCCAGTCTTTAAAACAGTAGCTGTCATGCCTAGAAAGAAATGTAAATGTATTGTACATGTACATGTTGAGAAAATACTTGAACAGTGAGAAATCCCACACTGACAATGTGGACAGGAGCTTGTTCACCAGTTGATGTTACTAAAACTACTTGTATTTTCTACACCATTAACCTTCAATGTCTTAATACAACCATTCCTATATACCTACAACTTGTAAATATTGTTGAAAGTATGACCCACACTTAGCTAATTATAGATAATAAATATCCTTTGGTAGAAAGTGATCAATGGGTTGCAATTGTCACTAATCAAAGCTACTTAAACCTATGACCCTGTACATATTAACTATACCATAATCATATAAACCATACAAGTGGGTATGTTCATGAACATGACAATGAAAACCATTATACTATTAACCTTGCTTTACAAGTACATTCCTATCTTACTACCATACCATTACCTACATACAACTTATTAACCTTAATATGAATTACCTACATACAACTTATTAACCTTAATATGACATGATGATACCAATACCATAATAACCTTGCTATATAAGTACATTCCTATCTTAATACCATACCACTACTTACAACTTATAATGTATGACCACACAATGTAAAATGTACTAAAACAACACCATCATCCTTCAATATTTTACTATAACCTGTACCAGTACATTACTACCTTTAATATAAAGTGGATCATTGGGTTTGTTGGTTGATGTTGCAATAACAACCTATGACCCTTGACATATTACCTACACCATACAAACCAAATGTTAGTAACTTCCAGTACCTACATTTAACTATTTAACTTATAATGACACCATGAAACATGTACCTATACCATATTAATCAAATGATTATCTACATGTATATACAACTTATAATGTATAATCACTTAATATGACACTGTAATACCTACACCCATACATTGTATTAATCCTGCTATACCAAACCATTATTAACATATGAACCTTACATATGACCTACATTATCTACTGTTGATATGACACTATGATATACCTATACCATATACATTCCTATCTTAATACCATACCATTAACTAATAACCTACTTCTTACATAATACTGGGTGACCATTGTCTATTACTGTGACTTTTACAACCTTAACATATAATAAGAGTATTCTTGATATACAATCTACCACAATGTGCATATTATAGGAATGACAATACAGAATAGTAATAATTATAAAATTAAATGTAAAATAACAATACACATTCGTGACAAAATGCAACACAAAATTGAAATTTCGCAAATATCGTGTCAACTTTGAAGCGTTATTTGCATAGCAAAACGTTATATCACGTGCACACGATTTCAATGTTATGTTGACTATAAACCTACAGCTAAGGCAAACACTATAAAACAAATGAGCATAAGCCTAATGCTGTCACAGTATCGAGAAAGAGAAAAAGAATGAGACTTAGGAAGCAGGTGCCCAGGTCCACCAACAACCCTCACCACAGACCCTCCCAATCCACCCACTGTGACTAGGCTTAGTTACACTGTATACAATGTTTGCCCAGGCAAAGGATCGAGACAGAAAAAGAAAAAGAGTCTGATCCTTCTTCTGCTTAGAGCCCATACCACAGAAAAAGGACAGACAGAGAGAGCCAAGTAGGAGAGGATTACAGACTGAGTTACGGGTAGCCGCTGTCCGACCTAAAAAGGAGGGCTCCCCGCTCAGAATCCTGGCGTTCACCCTCTCCCCCGACTAACCCCATCCAATCCCCCTCACATGATTGGGACTAAAAGCAGGTCACTGTGAAAAAGGGTGCTCAACCCATACAGTGGAAAAATGCTGATGTCTTCATCATCTTCATTCAATCCACAACAGTTAGGATATGTTCTTGTCTCCACCTCTGGTACATCCATCTGTTCCTTCTTCCTCCTCTCCTTCAACTGAAAGACAGCTAGTCATAACAGTGAAAAATGCTTATGTCTTGATTGTCTTCATTCAATCCAAAGCTAAAATATGTTCTCCTCTCTTCCTCTGATACATCCATCTGTTCCTTCTTCCTCCTCTCCTTCAACCAAAAGACAGCTAGTGCTAAGATGAATGATCTGATTGTAAATTGACAGGAGAAGTGTAGAGTGGTGATGCTGGAGCCTCAATGCAATGAAAACAGTGTGAAGTTCCGTGTCCAGTGACCATCTCCTTGTTAGCTGATGTCTTTTCCAAAGAACCGTCCATAGAAAATCTGTTCTTGATTGATACTGTCTCACAAGGTCACGATAAATTATTTCATGATGGTGACAAATGGTACCTCCAATGATCAAAATACATGTACGCGATTCCAAACACCAAAATAGGTTGAAGTCGCTTTAAAAAGCAGATCAAATGATGACAAACACATGATTGAGAGACAGCAAGACTGGAGATCATGAGATGTGACAATCGTACGTTATACGTGAGGACACGTGTAGATAAAAACATATTAATGAATAGTATCATGCACAAGAGTAATAATAATAACAATGATGTGAAAGGGAGTGTAATAATTTACAGTACAGGAGGAATGGTAGATCTGGGGGTTGGATATGTGGGTATTTTACCCTACCATGGGGTCACTAATTTGTCATTTACAACCAATAACCAATAATTATTAATAACCTTAATTAATAACCTTAACCAATAATTAATAACCTTAATTAATAACCTTAAATAACCAACCTTAACCAATAACCTTAACCATAACCACAACCAATTAATAACTTAACCAATAATCTAGTAATAAGACAATTATTACACCTACATACACACAAGTACATGTATATCTAAAACAAGAATGGAAAACATAAGAAGTTTTGCTTCAAGACAGACATGATGTAAGTACATACAAGTACATACAGAATCAGTACAAGGGATTCCCCAATAACAGTATCCTTCACACAAGAACATGCAATCAATAATACCATGCAACTATCCAGGCCTTGTTGGCCAGGGCAGGCTAGCAATATAGCAATAGCATTACAATAATACAATAAAAACTTGCAGAATTTCTTCATGAAGGGTAACGATTAGATTCCAGTGCCTCCAATGACTCGGACTTAACTGGGACTTATTTCACAAGATAGGACTGAACGACTTCATCAGGACATCAAAAAGTTAACAAAGACATCACGGCTTGAGACCAACGACTTCAGAATCAGAAAGTTGAAACCCAGTACATCTATAGCTCCTAAAAATCAAATAGAAGATAGAACAAGTCAAGATGGGAACAAATTCCTTTGTATTACAAGGAGTTATTGTAATGTTTAGGAAACAAGGGGCTATGACAACTTTGAATAATTGAATTTTAACAAAGAATGCCAATTAAAGCATACTTGATGTAGAAAGGTTATGGAGTTATTGAATTTTAAGAAAGAATGCCCAATTAAACTCAAATTCTAGTTGAAGTAAAAGGCCATTGCAAAACCAATACAAATGCAGGAATCAGTACATGTACTGTCAATCAGGCTAGACAATGAGCAAGTTAGTCTCAAAAGGAAGGCTCTTAGCAATATAGAGTGACATTTCAAAACAAATCCTCACCTAGAATGACAGCCAGTCTTCTCAGTTTGTAGCTCTCCATCTGTTTTGTTCCTTTACTTGTCCCTTTTGTATGGGAATGGCATCTAGCAAGCAGGAAGGCCAAATCTGTTCATAAAATGTGGTAAAACCTATAGAAAGTAAGGGCAGAAGTGAATCATGTGAAATCGAGCCACAGGGTTTGCTTACCCGGTCTGTATAGGCCGTGTTACCAGTGCTATGTAGCTAAGGAGAGGAGACTGCCTTTATAGACCTGTAAATAAAAGAAAAACACAGTCAAGGATGAGAAGGAGTGGGTAAAAGAGCAGGCAGGAGGAGAGAGAGAAGCTGCCAGAACTAACCAAGCAGTCCTTGGAGGAAGAGAAGGTAGAACTATGTAAAGAGCCCTGGAGACTTGCCTTTCAGAGAGAGGATTCTTTCTTTTGTCTAAATGAGGACAATGGAGCAGTATTGACGTTGTTATACGTTATTCTCGAATCTGATTGGTCACATTCCTAATGTAACTAGAATCTGATTGGTCAGAGCCGGTTACCAAGGTTACTTATCACACCTACTGTAGATTGCGCATGCGCAGCAGCTCAGTGTTTCAAGGAAGGCGTGGCTAGTTATTAAGCAGGGTACTATCACTACATAACCATATATGGTAGTACAAAGAGGGTGCAGACAGTAGTAGGAGACATGGCTTGTACAAACAAGTCTTTAAAGAGATACAAGCAGAAGGGACACACACACAAGATTGAACAATCATTCTTGATGAGGTCACAGGTCTCTAGGCTAACTGGCCATTGTTCACTTTTAGCTTGTCGGGTCTAGATTTACCAACATGTACATGTACATGTATATGCATTCAAAATATAAAGCAGTTTCCTTGCTGCATGGTATAAGGTACGTGTAGTCCTAGATGTACTAAAAGCTCTAACTTCTCCTGACTATAAAATGGTATAATAGTGAGTTGCACATAATTAATTTGAAAATAATACACGTTATTATTAGTATTATTATTACATTATTATGAAGACGTTAAAAGTGGACCTGAATCATAGTCTAATCAAAAAGAAAGTTAAACAAAAAAGAAGCAACTTATTATCATTATCATTATTACAGCATGGTACTTTTTATTATTGCTCTATCTCAACACAATAATAATAATAATTCCAGGAAAGTGAGAGAGAGGGAGAGAAAGAAATGAGAGGAGTAGTAAGATAAAAATAGACATTGGTGTGTGTGTGTATCACATTAT